TTTAACTTTGTGCCCTAATGACATATATTAAAGGTACCTTTTATTATAAATATATATAAAAAGTGTGAAAATTGATATTAATTTTAGTGTTTGTGTAAAGTAAATGAATTTAATTAAATAATTAATAAATTAAACATTAACTTTTATTTTTTCAATATAAATTTATGATAAAAAAATGTATTTGTTATACTTTCAACTTATATCATTAAAATAGAGATTAGAAAAATGAAAAAAAAAAAGAATTGGGATTAACTTATGCACAAGTCATACATTTAACTATTGCTTAAAATCTTGAGTGTTCATCTCTTTATCATTACGATATTTTTTATTTTTGACCCAAAAAGAAAAATCTATTCACTATGAATTATTGAGAATTTTTTTTTATTCTAATTGCATAATGAGAGACATTCATCTCTTATCTTTTATTTCACTCCACTCACATGTCATACTTAAGTTGTTGGTAAATTATTAAGATTTTTTTCATTTTTATCTTGTTTTTTTTTTAAATTTATTGTCTTTTAATCAAAAAATATATATAATAAATTTTAATTATTAATAATAAAAAATAAATAATTATGTTTTTGTGTGACTAATATATATAAAATTTTGTGGATAAAATCATTCTATCTCTTGATAAAATAGAGAAGTGTGGCCGTGTGGGGGAAAGTTGATCACAAACTCTCTTCTCTCTATGCTTAGGTGGAGGAAATGACAAATGGACCATATATTGTCCTATCATGGCCGACATCCTTTGCCCATCAAGATTTAAAGACTCCCTTTCTTGTATTTAATGAAAGGAAGCCTTAAATTGATGCGCTTGCTTAGTCAGTAGACACATCTGTTCCTGCCATGGCCTATTCAATTTGTTGGCATCATTAGCTCCACCAAAATTTCCCCACAACAAGCACTATTGCTTCTCAATTTTCATTGTCATTGATAAACCCCTTTCGAAGGCGATTTAAGGGCACATTATTCTCACCAAAAAATTTTGTTCCACAACAAGCACTATTGCTTCTCAATTTTCATTATCATTGATAAACCCCTTTCGAAGGTGATTTAAGGGCACATTATTCTCTCACAAAATATTCTGTTAAAATCATTAATTTTAATTGTAAATTTATTAATTTATAATTTTTTAAAAAATTATTATAATATTTAAAAATATTTATTTATAAATGAATATAAAATTTATTAAAGGAAAAAAAAAGTGGATCCGGATTCGATATAAAACCGGTTCGGGCCAGAGTACTGCCGCGCCCGCGCACCGACTGGTCAGCACCACACATCCACGCCGAGGATCTTCACAGAGCCGACGACTGGTAGGTGGAAGGAGGCCCATGTCGGGCCTGAATTAAGC